TGCTAACAAAGATAGTGCAGATCTTGTCGGTTATGCAGATGCAGGTTATTTATCTGATCCCCAAAAAGCTCGATCTCAAACCGGCTATGAATTTACATATGGAGGTACTGTTATATCATGGCGCTCCATAAAGCAATCTATTGTTGCTACTTCTTCAAATCACGCTGAGATAATAACTATTCATGAAGCAAGTAGGGAATGCGTATGGTTGAGATCAATAATTCATTTTATTCGAGAAAAATGTGGTTTGGAATGTGAGAAAAGACTCACAATTTTATACGAAGACAATGCTGCATGCATAGCCCAATTGAAGGGAGGATTTATAAAAGGAGATAGAACGAAGCACATTTCACCAAAATTATTCTACACACACGATCTTCAGAAAAGTGGTGACATTGATGTGCAACAAATTCGTTCAAGGGATAATCCAGCAGATTTATGCACTAAATCTTTGCCAACTTCAACTTTTGAGAAGATGGTATACAAGATTGGAATGCGGAGACTCAAATATTTGAAACAAGGTTTTCATCAGGGGGAGTAAAATACGCGATGCACTCTTTTTTCCTTACTAAGGTTTTTTTCCATGGGGTTTTCCTTATAAGGTTTCTAATGAGGCACCTAACAATGCGTCTTACTAAATATGTGTACTCTTTTTCCTTCACTGGGATTTTTTCCCACGTGGTTTTTCCTAGTAAGGTTTTAATGAGGCACATTATCTTTTAATGAACATCCATGGAGGAGTGTTATAAATATATTATATTATGGATGTTCATTTAGTACCCCGTTGTAAATAAGCTTCCTGAAGAAGCTTATCCATATGGGACTCCACCGTAAATATGTTTATCTATTTAGTACTCTATTGGAAATAAGCTTCCTGAAGAAGCTTATCACTTCGGTACCCGGTTATGGATAAATATTACCCCAGTAGAAGATTATCCATACCGGGTATAATAAGCTTATCCTTTTAGTACCCAGTTATGAATAATCATTACCCCCAGTAGAAGATTATCCATACCGGGTATAATAAGCTTACCTTTTAGTACCCAGTTATAGATAAACATTACCCCCGATAAAAGATTATCTATATCGGGTATAATAAGCTTATCCTTTCAGTACCCAGTTATGGATAAACATTATCCCCGGTAGAAGATTAACCATACCGGGTATAATAAGCTTATCTTTTCAGTACTCCATTATGAATAAACATTGCTCTCAGTAGAAGATTATCCATATATGGTATAGTAACAGCTTACACAACAACTTCCTTTCTTCTATAAATAAAAAAGATTTCAGTTCATTATGTACATCAATTTGAATTCGAATAATATATCAATTTCTCTCTATAGTTGTCTTTACTTTACAGTCTTTATTTTATAACAAAAAGTGAAATTTAACTTGAATCTAGTTCTTTTTATCTTTGTTTTGTGAACATATCAATATAGAAGATTTTTTTAAAAACCATTTTTGCTCAATCCTGATTTACAAAAGGAAATCATTCAGATTAGATTGTTAGTGAGACAACCTATCATTAAAGTCTCTCAATCAATTTATCTTGTGTCATGGGTACTAACTTAGCATTTTATTGTGAAGAGCGTGAAGTGAGGAAAAGCGACAAACCCCATTTCACGAGAAGCGAGAAGCGAAGTGCTCGCTTTTTTAAATGAAGCGGAATTAAAATAAATACTGCATAGACAACACATGTAATTGTAAGCAAATGTTCAATACTTCAATTAATTGGCCAGAAATTGGGCAGAAATTTTCTGAAAAAAATTCGCCAGCATTTCGCTGTTTTTTGGACATTTAGAAAGAAGAAGAAGAAGAAGAAGGAGGAGAAGAAGAATACCGAAAATCAAAAGTGCAGAAGCAGAACATACCTGTACTGTTGAAGAAGAAGAAGAAGAACAACCCTAGTTGATGCTTTGAGATTATTTCAGAAATCAGAAGGTGATGAAGAAGAGAAGAAGAAATCGCTGATGTTGTTGAAGAAAAACCCTAGTCTCGATGTTGTTGAAGAAGTCCAGACAATGTTTACGGTTTAAGAAACCTTATTTTTTAATAAAATAGGGCTTTAGTTAATTTTAAAAATAGAAGTGGGCGTTTCTAACGCTTCTTCTCGCTTTTTACAAAGAAGCGGTCGCTTTTTCATACCAGAGTCGCTTTTATTACCTGAAGCGCTGCCCTTCACGCCTCGCTTCGCTTCTCGCTTAAAGCGAGAAGTGAGCACTTTTTTTAATCACTTCACTAATCACAAGAAAAGATAAAAGATATTCCTCTTGGACCTATTTTCGTCATTGCGATGTGTATTTTGCTTCCACTTCTTTAGTTTACTCAGTGAGTTATACTTTATTTCTGTTCTATTTACGAGTTCTTGAGAGCTATTAATTAAGGATCAAATTAAGTATTTTCATTATGCATTAAAGATGATAGATAAGTGTCCTTCGTTTGGGAAATGATTTTTCACAAAAGTATTGGGAATCATCTTAAGCTTAGGAATAACTTAGGAAGATTGCAAGATGTATGTTTTCGGCTGAATCAACCTAGCCACAAGAGCACTATCGTCTAATTTTACTGCAGTTTTCACTAGAGAAATTGTTAGTTCTTGGCGCAAGACGAGTAGCCCTTAAAAAGGGGTAAAGCGTCCAATAATAAAAGTTGGGTGTATAATATTTGGAGAAAGAGCTTGACAACAAGAAGCGCCTGTAGCTCAGTGGATAGAGCGTCTGTTTCCTAAGCAGAAAGTCGTAGGTTCGACCCCTACCTGGCGCGTTAACTTTTTCGGTCATCTGTTTTCTCATTGCATTACAATCCTGGGTCCCTGTTTCTGAATGGTCTTTTTTGGGTTCATAAAAGTAAATTTTTAGTTTTACGCTTCAACGCTTAACGATGAAAATATAGGTAAATTCAAATGCAGAAGTACTACTTGAACCTAAACTATAGGAAGTAACCATAAGAATCTGTTGTTGACAATTGAAAGTTCAGTTCGTATTCAACTGTTAACAATTCTGTGTTATTTACTCAATAAGTACAATTTTATTAGTAAAATACAAAGAAGAAACAGAATTGACAAGAAACTTCATTCTAGTGTCACAATCATTATGGTGACTGCCGACTGGCCTAAATTGTAAGAAAACTCAGTGTTTAGGTGTATTACTCTTATTACGACTCATCTTCTCTAACACATTATGTAGCAATGGAACACAAAGTTTCTGTGACATATCCCCTTCTTGGCACTTGTAATCCTCTAACTCTGATCGTCTAGCAGAAACGTTCTCATTTTTCTCAAGGTGGGCTCTGTTTGTAACGTCCGATTTTCGTCTGTTTACTGGTCTGATTCCGATAAGTCGGCCAAGAGAAACACTTTGATCTTGGAAGAAAGACATTGTGGACTGAAACAAATCCCACAAAGTAACATTAATATGTTGATGATTGTGGCGCATTCACTGCTTTTGAATTGAGCTATATAATATATACATAGTTAAAAAGTTTTTAGAAAATACAATTATACTAAATTCGAACAACTGTGACTCTGTGAGTAAGTAATTACCTCAGTGTCAAGGTTGGAGGATGAAAAAGATGAGAAGCTAGGTGAAGATATGTACAATCGGTATGCTGCTTCTTCTGCTGCAGCTGCAGCTGTTACAACCTGAGATCTCTCAGCCACCCTAAGTCTTATATTCATGTTTTCAAGCCCCAGGGGCCACCCACTGGGCTCCTCATGCTCCTGACAATTCATATTAATTTATGCAAAATATCAAGAACGCACAGCCGGATCTAGAGCAGATTTGGTAGTTTCAACTTTCAACTGTATCCATTGCTCTTGAATCCAAATTATGTACACATATGTAAAGCAAATTTACAAGGTATACATATATATTGATATAATAAGATCACACTAATTCTGAACTCACTCGCTCTAAATCTTTGCTGGTCTATCACAGCAGAGCAGTGAATAAGTCTTTGGATGCAGTTATTCAATCAAACTAGCTAGTCACTGCAAAAAGGGCAATTTTCATTTGTTCCTTAATCTGCTACAATCATTTTATAATATATACTCCATATTATATGGGGGATACCCCCCCCCCTACCCGGCTACCCCAAACAGCATCCCACTACTTCCTTAAGAAAAACGAACAGTTAACCTATTTCCAGGCAGAGGTATGGTTGAAAATACTGAACCAAGAGTTTCAGTGTGCAAATCGGAGTGTTCATATTATAGAAAGCTGCTAAGATAATAAACCAAAGAAATAATGTAATAACTTTGAATCCTAATTCCTAGGCAAATTAAACAAACAAATCATTCAGAAGACTGCCGGTGCAATATCGTACCTGTGTTACAACCATGGCTGTAGAATTACGAAGCGTTTATCTGGCAAAAGATGAGGAGTCAAGATGATCTGAATATATATCATTCAAAAGGGACAGCAAAAAGAGTTTATTTGGAAGGAGTGAGTACTTAAATCCAAGATAAATAAAGGAGAGAGGAGTCTTTATTACATTCTTTCCATACAACAATTAAGCGGTTGAATAGCCCTTCAAGGGCCCCATTCAGGGCTTCAGCTTTTATATCGAGTTACGGTCCCTTCACGTACGTGACTTCTGCTAGTCCATAATTTTGAGCTCCAATCATTTAAAATAGGGATTTTTACGTATCATACGCTATTGGATTACATATTTAGTTAATTACCCAACATAAATAAGTTTTGTTTACAAAATATATATAATTCACCTTAAAAAACTCTCAATCCATTATTTGTGCATTCAATCAAGAAATTTAGTTACACTTTTTTTTCCTCTCCTCTCTCCCCTCTGCTCTCCAAATTCTCTTTTTCTCCCCATATCTCAAGTAAACGGAGTGCTTTGAATAACGAATTTCCCAAAAGCATTTGAAATCTGGGCAGGATGCTTCTCCCTGGAAGTACGAGTAGCTACCCATTCCTCCAGAAATGCCTAGTTATTGGTTACAAGTAAAAAGCTTCCTCAATAAGTTAAGTAGCAAAATATAGAATATTGAAGAGCAGTCCTATTCCTTTGTGTCACACATGTCAATATAAGATAATATAAAAAGCTTAATTACTTGCATATTAAATTAGTAACGAGAAAGAGAATTATGGTACTTGTAAGAATTGAGAAGTGCAATGACAAAGAGTATTCTGCTAAGGGAAGTCAGTATGTGAACGAACACCAAATCCTGTCCCCCCCTCCCCCCACCTGATTACTGCCTTTCCGACAATTCTCAGGTTCTTACCCAGTAGAAGTTGTGGTTTGGTTGTTGCTCAATTTGGAATAACAAGAAGTTTGTACAATTTTTATATAAATTTTATAAAATATATTTTTTGTATATTTTGTATCTGTTGGACTACCTGTTTAAAACGTCTCTTTCCTCTAACTTTCCTCTAACGTCTCTTTGCTCCCTAAGCTCTGTTTCACCGGCGGCAACCCCAGGTAAGCTCCCCCCTCCTCTACCCCTACCCCATCTTTGTCTTCTTTTCCTCTCTTTCTCTCTCCTATTTTCTTCTTCTTGTTTCGCTTTCCAGAATATCCCAACCCTCCACCATCCATCATCTTCATTTCCCTAATTTGAATATCATGTTCATTCTTTTATTTGTTGGTATTTGCATTGTTGTCGATTTATTTTTCTGACTTTATTGTTTTTTAGAGTTCTTCGTTTGACTGAATATTGTGATTAAAATTTAGGTTATCCTGTTTTCTTAAGTTTTTCCGTTTGATTCTATTCTGAATACAAGTTATATTGGTATACTAGAGATTTTACAATATCTGAATTTCCTGTACCTTAATTCCACCCAAAATAATTGAGCTTTCAATGTAGAGATAAGTGTGAGATTTAGACAACTCGTAGTGTTATCCTCCGTTCGCATTTTCCGGTTTATTGGTTTTGTCCTTTTGCGTCCCAAATCTGCCACCCCCCTTATATTCTCGTTTTCTTCGCCTTTCTTGGTACATTTTATATTGTTGGGGCTATACCAGTGGTAGCGGTGATAGCTCCTTCTGGTTTTTGGGTCGTGGTATTTTCTGTGTTTTCAGGAATTCTCGGAGTATTGGAGCCAAGTTGGGCGCACGAGCACTGGCAAAGGAAAGCAACCTGGGCGAGTGTCAGCAAAGGGCGGTAGGAAGTGGTGCGTGAGCGTACAACTACATCGAGTACAGCAAATCAGTCACAGGTTTTGTTAAAGGGAGTTGGTACCTCCTGTTTTACTGTTTCCCTTTTGGTGTTAGCTAAATTACTGTTACTTTACTTCGCAATAGTTAAACCTTTCATCTAGGATACTAGTTACCACTTGTTTCCTTCTGGTTTGATTTGTTGTCCGTTGTGTACTAGCGAGTCTTCTCTAGATTGTTGTAGGTGTAGTGGCTGCAGTCTGGGATGATANATGGATGAGTATAAGTTGTGGTAATCTGGTGTCCTGAGGGGTAAGAATGGAGTGAGTATCCTGGTAGATAGCCATCTAAGAGAGTCCGTGGTAGAGGCCAGGCGGGTGAATGATAGACTAATGACTATTAAGTTGGTGGTGGGTGAGGGTACTTTAAATGT